CGATTAATGGACGTTTGTGCAACTGGTTGTTAATTTTTACAGGAGGATGTTTTGTATTTATACCTTACTTTTTTTTATTTGGACCTATTAGAAAAGATGGAAAAATCGCGGCAAACAGCCAAGTTTTAGTGTGCTTGTAGAGCACTTTACCAATTTTTTAGAGAATCTCTATTCCATTGCCCTTTCAAGCTAAATCAGGTACACAAGTGGCTCTCTATTTGACGTATATTTACTTTGTACAGGGACTTATGACCAGTTGTCTTTAGTTCTCCAGCAAAGACTGCATAAGAACTAGAAAGAGTCTTGTAAAATATAAACACGGAACTTGTAAAGGATCCGAAACGTCATAAAATCAAATATAAACATGCTACACCCATTCAAAATAGTTTTAATTAATGAATAGTGTGCGTGAAAATATAAGAAATCAGTAGATGATCGTTCTGGTTCTGATAGATCATCAAGTCAGAAACTTTGTACGTATGGCGATCCTACGATTGAAAAAGTTTCAAAGATGTGGTTATAAAATACGAGGGCACTGTTGAGATAATCAACCGAATATCTACTAGTGATGTTCGGGATATCCGTATCCGTAACCGCGGATATCCGACGGAAAATAAGAATCCGTATCCGTTACATTTTTCGCGGATTTTTTACGGATCTTTTAACTTATTAATTTTCAATTGATAGGATGAAATGCTATATATAATAGAGAGAGATTAGAAGTATAATGATATTAATTTAGTATGGGAACCGAGTGTCGCCTCTCCGCACACAAATACAGATTAGATGAAATGATCATTTTGTTCACTACATGAAAAACCGCCACGCGATAGGTTCGCGATAACATAAACCAAATCCCAAAAAGATACTAAGCTAAGAAATCACAAGATTAAAAACAAACTCTAATTCAACGTGATAATAAATAATTTACTTTAACATGAATGTTGAACTGTCACGTGGCTGTATATGGGGATACCAGAAGGAAAAAAATATTTTAAGATTATGCACATTTAAAAAAATTGGGGTCATCATTTTATGTGCGAACTATTAATATTAGATTTTGCTGTAACCAAGTGAATACTGAAAAATTAAGGCTTTTCCCTACATAATTTATTAAAATATCTTTTAAAAAACGCAGTACAAAAACTAAGAAAACTTAATGATACACTCTATCGTATGTCTGTGGAGTAATATAATTAAGCGAGGGAAAGTGTAAAAAAAACAAAAATTAAGAAAACAACAGAATTTTTGTATTAATTACATTAAGCCTAATTTGTATTTTTTTACTGGTATCATTCCGATTGTGCATATTAGTGATGTGACATATTAGTTGATAAAATAAGAGCTTTAAATTTTGTTATGAAACAGTTCAATGTAATTCAGTTCGACAATTTTCTACAGTGGTTTGATAGTAATTATTTAAAGCTTTATTCAAATAAAACGAAATACATAAAGTTTGCATTACCTAATGTGAGGCATGTTAATATACTTATAAATGTAAATAGTGAAAAAGTTGAGATGGTGGAATCGACAAAGTTCCTTGGTATTTTGGTATATTGATAATTTGTCAAGTAGACTGAGTTCTGCAGCATTTGCTGTTAAGAAAATTAGACTCTTAACAAATGTTGAAACGGCAAGATTGGTATATTTTAGTTATTTTCATAGTGTAATGAATGACGTATAATCTATTGTTATGGGGTTCTGCGGCTAGCATTCAAGATATTTTTATTCTACAAAAGAGAGCTGTCCACGCTATATATAATTTACGGTCTAGAGAATCTCTCAGAGAAATATTTAAAGAAATAAATATTTTGACTGTTGCCTCTCAATACATCAATGAAAATATTATGTACGCAAGAAAACATTACGATTCCTTCACAAAAAAAAGTAGAAATAAAAATAAACTTGCCATTCCAAGTGCTTGTAATAGCCTTCTTGAATAAAGATATTTTCATTTCATTTCATAATAACTAATATGATCATTACACTAATAAATTGATCATAGCCATGTTTGTTTTACTTTATTATTCTAAGTTTTATATCTGTAATAATAGTAGTAGCTACATTATTAATTGCAACGACTGGACAATAAGGAATTGCTGGTCAAGTATGAGTTTGAAAGCCGTGACAAAAAAAGTTTGAAGATAGACACAAAAGCGATAAGTACGTACAAACGTCAATCTACATATAAAGTCACATCCGTTTGAGACATGCGTCTATAAACTTATGTGCAAATATGGAGCAACAAAAAAACTGATAAAAGCTGTTCTGTGGGCGGTTCTTTAAAGTGGCTTTCTTAACTCGATTTCTATAATAATAGTTTCCGATTATGAATCAGCATAATAAGGTAAATTAAATTGACGCCTAAAAATTAATTTTGTAAATTAAATTCACACCACCAACAATATTACGTTAGTTGAAAACATAATTTTTTGTTTGTATAGATATTATGTTGTTTTGAAATTCATTTGATAGGTTTAGGTCTAAAACAGATAGGGCAAAATTAATTATGTAAACAAGGCAATCCGTTGTAAAGTTATTAGGGAAACTGAAATATAAGTAATGCAAAATAAGTGAAATCCAGTTTCACCAGTTTCTAACAAGACCTATTAGGCCAACTCTTAGCTTTTCACGAAGTTTCGTTTAATTTATGTATTGTTCATAAAACGGTGATATACTTCGTAACTTAGATATTTATAGCACATCAGTAATTTTTAATATTTATCTGCGTGTAAATAATTAACCGAATCTTCGTAAAAAAAGTGCCTGGACAGTTCATTATTTCATTTGTTCAGTATCAGTTCATCTATAATTTTCCCTTGTAAACAGTATTTTTTAGTTTTATATAATTATGGCATATATTTATCGATAACGTTGTTATGAAATGATGAAAGAAAAGCTCTAAATAAATATGTTTTAGTTATCGATTACGATCCATATAATTAACAATACGATTCCGAGCAGCAGCAGCCTATCGGTACATTTCAGACAAATGGAGGCACAGCACTATTTTTTGCAAAAGTGCACAAAATGATTTACATTGCTGTTTAGTAATGGGGTCAGAAACATTGATGTTGGTTTGAGCAATCAATGTATATTTTATTTAACATTGTGTCAAATTATTACGTTTTTTATATTTTAGCACTAAAATTGTACTTACCAGTGAAAGGAAATGTTTGCATTAGTTAGATTGTATACTTTGCTTTGCTTTTTGCAAGTGATAATAGCACAAAACGGCATTTTTTATAGAAAAAATCTGTAAAATCACCACTCGACGATTGACGAACGACTGGCAAACATAAAACCGAGGAAAGGGCGTCATATGAGTAAAAGCGCATATGCCAGCGACGCGTGCCCCGCCCACTTACTACTTCTATTCTCTCTCTAGGTGATAAGGTATGTTTAAAAAACTATTAAATTCAATTCAAGTATTTTTTATTTCTTAAAATCAAATATTTGGAACCTTTGTATTGCAAACATTTATCGTAGTAGGGTACTATACCAATAGTACATAACTCAAAGGCATTAATCAACCTTTATAATAATATCAAAATTATTGAAAGGTATAACATCACTTTTATAAATGTAAGAAAATGAGAAAACTAAAACTTAAATCTCTTTTATAATTATCATGAGATAAATATCAGTTATAAGATCACTTTTATAACAATGAGATGATGAGAAAACCAAAAATAAATTCTAATGGAATGATTGATTTGATTGAGAATGATTATTCTAATAAAGTAAATTAATACTGCGTACTACCTACCGTATAGAGTGTAAACATTAGGTTACACGAGCAAACACAGTGAATATTAGAGGAACTTGAAAAAATTATTAATTATAAAGATCCGTATCCGTATCCATATCACAATATTATTTTGCGGATCTTGACACCAAATATCCGTATTCGGATCCGTATCCGCAGATATACGCAGATTTTTAACGAACCGGCACATCACTAAAATCTACGTACAGGGGCCTAATATTGTCTAATTTATAATCTATCGCAATCTCTGTCAATTTGAAAGATAAGCACGACCTTCTCGCTGCACCTACTTAACATGTGCTAGCAATTGCTTAGCGCAACGTTTTTTCAAAGATATAGATAAATGAAAAAAAATGTTTATTTGATAATCTAGACAAAACATACAAGTTTTGGAGACCCCTTTTAACCAAATTTTTGCTTGTATTGGGAGATCCTGCTCTTCCATTAACACAGCACTGTGAATAATAATATAAAGAAAAAGTAAAATCAAAAAGAAACCTTTTTTGAATTTAAGCGCATGTAGTGCATATGCCTAATACGTAATTATATACATCAAATAAACGACTTCATTAATTTAACATTAGTTGGAATTGTCTAAGGCAAAAGTTAAACGCAAATATCTTTCAAAACTATTGAAAAATCAAACGAGTGTTAACTACAATCTTTCAACGGGTTTAACTATGTTTTTATTATTTCTTGATCACTCAAATCATCATTCGTTCCAAAAGCGATTGCAACTTAAAAAAAGTTACATAATTCCATAAATCGCTATCATAATTGCTACACCTTTGAAATGGATTGCAGTATATTTTAAAATTAGATCTCAGATCTAAAATTTTATTCCACTTATTGGCAGTCTGCTTTTTTCACTATGCCATATTTTTTAATTAACTATCTATTTTTTTTTTATTTGTACATCTTCATACACGTTACTCCAATATAATTTTTAATTGTGCTGTATTGCGCGATAATGAAGTTAGTTCGAAATGCTAAAAATATGAAAGTTTATGGAAATTACAAAAGAAAATCCCGGTTCTTGAAATTTATTGTGCTTAAATAATTATTATAAAATAGATAAATCATCATGTTACGAGTATATTAAAAACATAAAAAACATAACAATACAAATATAAAACAATTATAACGATGTGGCAGACTGGAAGTAAACCCCTTAATTAAAAAAATAAACAAAAATGTCATCATCAACCAGTTGTCACGGGCTGTCAACCTCACAGAACACTTATTATCAGAGTAAATTTTCTGTATGATCTTTCGTTTTTTACCGAAAATTTATTAATACAATGGCATATTTAACACAACCAGATTACGTTAAATATGTATGTTCCTGTGGACAACTCAAGCCTATTACAAATCTTTATTTTTGTCGCCACTGTTTGAAGATACGCTGCGGTTTCTGCATTTGTCATGAGGTAATCCATTCCCACCTTGTCCATTCTTTAATTGCTTTCTCGTAATTTCTGATTGAATTAACTGATGTAGTTAAATGAAAAAAACTGATAATTTGAATTTATCATTTTACGGTAATAAAAAGATTTCTTGCGTTAAATATAGCCTTTGTAAAGTGCAAGTAGACGCACCTAAGGCACTCCTCGTATTTTATTCTATTGTGATTCCATAAACTGGCTTATAAATTGACAATGTGGATCGTTCTACCTATTTATGGGAACCAATACAACTCGGAGAACTATTAAAAGTATTAGTGGATTTTGAGTAGATGTAGTGTTCTTTTTATTTAACTTAAATAAACCTATGCTATATACTAGTATTGCGTAAAACGTATCTTTCTAAAGATTGGATCAATTAATTCTTCATTTGAATCATTTGTCTCATTTGGATCATCAATTCTCAGATAGATAGAGCAGAGAGTAAGTACATAATTGTGTTATGGAGAAATTTAAAAATTACTTGATGCTTCTCATTGACCTTTCATATGGAATGTTTTTTTTAAAGTGTAATAAAATGATAACACAATACCAGTTTTTATCTTTTTATATTAAGAAATCTCAAAAAAATCCTTTTTATCAAATTAATTCTCCTTCATGCTTTGTTTAATTTATACTATTTTTGTAATATTCTATTCACCTGCTTTATGCAATTTACTAATTTAATGACAAAATCAAGTAAATAAACAAATAGAAAAGAAGCAAATAAAAAATATAGCTACTGGCTGGCCAACAAGTGTGCTCATTTGTTACTGACATGCAACTCAATATTGCCCAAATCTTTCTGAACAGTTAGTCAGTCCTGCTCAGTTCAGTCTTTCATTAATTTGTATCATTGAGCACCGCTGATCCACTGATCCATTCGGAGCACACTGAGATTTGGATAGATGTATTTTGATGAACCAACTCACTATTCACAATTCAATAAAGGTTATTCTTATGTCTTTTCAGGTTGATTCTCATTACTGTGCTAATTGCCTTGAAAATATGCCTTCATCAGAGGCTAGACTCAAAAAAAATAGATGTAGCAGCTGTTTTGACTGTCCAAGTTGCTTCCACACTCTTTCCACTAGAGCCACCTTAGCTCAGCCACGGCAGCCTGTGCCAGATGCAGCTGGAGATACGAAAGTGGAAAACAAACAACCAAAGAAAATGTACTATTTATCATGCTTCAACTGCAGGTGGACTTCAAGGGATGTTGGGATACCAGATCAACCAGTAGGTTAGTAACTAACTTGAATTGTCTACTGTTAATTAAATTAAGTTAATCCTTAAATGTTAAAAAATTCAGTATATATTTTATAATATGTTACTCAGCTCATTTATATTATTGTAATTTTTTACAGCTTCTGGAGGTTGGCCAGAAAGAACAAATCCGTTCACCACACGGTTCAATCAATTGCTTGATTACTACAAAGCTATAGCACAACAGGAGAAACAAGAAAAGTTGGAAAGGGAAAGGAAGAAATTTGCTATTAGAGGAAAATATATTACACTCACAGTAAGTTACTAAAAGCTTTGGAAACTTCAACATTTTCTTATGATAAATATTCGCCAATTTGGATACTAAAAAAGGGGTGTAGACAACTTTTTTATATTTTCATTCAGTTCTGATATGAGTAAGAAGAGCATGGCTTTACGCGCTGTTTGCATTCACTTATTTGTTTTTTCAATAATTAGTATAAGTCATCATATCAACCGAAAGACGCCCACTGTTGGGCATAGGCCTCCCCCAAAGATTTCCAACGTGTTCGGTCCTGCGCCTTCCACATCCAGCGGCTTCCCGCGACCTTCACCAGATCGTCAGTCCACCTTGTGGGGGGGCTACCAACACTGCGTCTCCCGGTACGCGGCCGCCACTCCAAGACCTTACCGCCCCAACGGCCGTCAGTCCTGCGAGCGATATGCCCTGCCCACTGCCACTTGAGGTTCGCAATTCTTTGGGCTATGACGGTGACTTTCGTTCTTCTGCGGATCTCATCCTTTCGGATTCGATCGCGCAGAGAAACCCCGAGCATAGCCCTTTCCATTACCCTCTGAGCGACCTTGAGCTTCCTTATGAGGCCCATCGTAAGTGGCCACGTCTCAGTTCCGTATGTCATCACTGGCAACACGCATGAATTGAAGACTTTCGTCTTGAGACACTGCGGTAGATGTTCCGAGAATACACTGCGTAGCTTCCCGAACGCTGCCCAGCCGAATTGGATCCGTCGATTTACCTCTCTCTGGAAATTGGACTTACCTATTGGACTATTTGTCCCAGGTAAACATACTCGTCGAGAGCTTCCAGTGTAGAGCCTCCAACATTCACTGGAGTGGGTACGACATGAGAGTTTGACATTATTTTCGTCTTCTCCGTGTTCATTTCAAGACCCACTTGTTGGGAAACTCTAGATCTTCGAGCATTGTGCCTAAATCTTCCGTGATCTCAGCCATGACTACGATATCATCAGCGAAACGAAGATGCGTCATATACTCGCTGTTTATATTGATGCCAAGTCCTCTCCAGTCCAAAAGCTTAAAAACGTCCTCCAGTGCGGCAGTGAACAGTTTCGGCGATATAACATCGCCCTGTCTTACTCCACGCTGGAGTCGTATTGCTTTCGAGTTTTGGTCCTGGAACCGAACTGACATGGTAGCGTTTTCATACAGTGACTGCGATACTTGGATGTATCGATAGTCTATTTGGCACCTCTGGAGTTACCTAAGCACGGCCCAGGTCGCGACGGAGTCAAAGGCTTTCACATAGTCCACAAACGCCAAGCAGAGTGTCAGATTATACTCCTCGGTCTTCTGTATAACCTGTCGCAACGTATGAATGTGGTCTATGGTACTGTACCTTGATACTAGTATCAATGGTACCTTTTCGGAAACCGGCTTGTTCGGGAAGCTGGAAGTCGTCAAATCTACGTGCGAATCAATTCGTGATGACTCGAAAACAGCTTGTACACATGACTCAAAAGCGTGATGGGTCTGTAAGCTTCTGAAGCGCTTTCCGTACTGGTAGTCCACCCGTTTTCAGAAGCTCCGCTGTGACTCCGTCATACCCCGGCGCCTTGTTGTTCTTGAGCTGTTTGAGAGCCACACTAATCTTATATAGACTGACGTCCGGGATATCTTCTATATAATGTCGGGTTAATTTGGTTCTGGGCTATAGAGCCTCAATAACAGGTTTCTGTGATGTTGCGTATAACTGTCCACAGAAGCGTTTGATCTCCGCCACAAGCTCAGGATGGGATGTAACGACTCTGCCGTCCTCCGTCTTGAGCTTCGTCAGCAAGCTCTGACCGAGAGACAGATCTCTAGCGAACACTTTGGAACCTTTGTTCCGCTCAATCGTCTCCTTAATACATTTTGGCATATGTCGCGTGTGAGAGACTTCGAGATCTGTCTATTGAGTTGCCGACAAGCATCTTCAGAAAACTGCAGAACCATTCCATGCCTTTCTTCCATTAGCTTGCTTGTCTGCTTTGAGATGAAACAACCGATACGTAGTCTGGTTAGTTTATTACTGTCTGAGTGGAGCGCGCGCGCAGGCGACGCCTTTAATAACTTAAGGTGGCGGGTAGGTTACTATACATCATTCTCTCCACCCTTATTTTGAATTCTGGTAACAAAAGAAATTCTATTTTTATATTATTCTTACAATTTAGAATAGGTACCTATTCTTAAAACTAAAACTTATAATTTACTTTTTTTCTGGGCCTTAATTGGCGAGTGTTGGACGCTTGGGGTATGACGTGGTTAGGCGGATCAGCCGGCGCCGGTGGATCAACCGGCGGCGGCGGATCAACCGGCGGCATCGGATCAATCTGCGGCGGCGCAGTTACCGGCGGCGGCGGCGGCATTATCTCCCGTTCAACATTAGCGAGTGAATCCGATGCACTCAATAACCCAGCCTCACGTCCCTCACCACTCTGATCGGGGCCATCTCTATTTCCTTCGCAACTAATTATATCACTAGTTTGAGCTGATAGTGGCATAGGTGCGTAGGTGTTGTGGACCCCCTTGGGCTCACTTCCTTCATTGTGTTGTGAAGACAATGGTTTAAGCAACTCACTTTCTATATTGGTGGTATTACCTGTATATTTTATTATTTGATTAATGTGTCTGATGCAAATATTATCTGTGTCATTCAATTTTACTTTAAACATTCTCTTCCCAACCATGCTTACAATAGTGCCTAATTGCCAAGTTTCTTTTCTGCCATTAAAACAACGTGTCCATACATATTCGCCGATTGCTATTTTTCTACAGTTTAATACACCTTTCTTTAAATCATTATTATGCCTAGAAATTATTTGATCTGACGGCAGTGACAGATCTAAACGGCATCTTAAGGACCGTCCGAACATTAACTTAGCGGGTGTTTCTCCCGTGACACAATGAACTGTATTTCTATAATCGAACAGATATCCTAATAATTTTTCTTGTACCATGTGCAGGGTTAAATGTTCACTTAAAATACATTTTAACATTTTTTTACATGTTCGAACGGCATTTTCGGCTTGTCCATTGCTACATGGATGATATATCGGAGATGTCATATGTTTTACACCATTACTGGAACAAAATTCATTGAATTCTACTGAATTTATTTTTACGTCATTATCCGAAACTATTGTCCTCGGTAGACCGAATATGGAAAACAATTGTTTTAATTTAACGATTAAGGCCCCCGTAGTAGTACCGTCTGACATATATATACAATCCAACCATTTACTATATGCATCTACCACCACCAAATAGTTTCTCTGTCCTACGGTCATGTAGTCGATGTGTATGCGATGCCACGGTGCTGCTGGCTGTGGCCAGGGGGCGGGGGGCGCGCGCGGCGGGTTCGGTCTCACTCGTGCGCACACGTCGCACGCGCCTATACACTGTTCTATATCTTTATCGATGCCCGGCCACCAGAACCTAGTACGCGCGTTATTTTTTGTTTTAATAATGCCTAAATGTGTAGAATGCAACTCCCGTAAAATACATTGAGTAAGTTCACTCGGAATTACTACCCTGTGCCCTCTTAATAAAACACCTTCTTCATATTGTAAATCGTTTTTACATAGGAAATAGGGCAAAATGGATCTACACGTAATTTTACGCGGCCATCCGTTATTCAGATAAGTAATAACAGTTTGTATGGTTTTATCACACGCGGTAGCTTGTTTTAAATAAGCAAGGGTTACAGCAGGAGATTTCGTATCTAGAAATTTCAACATGTATGATGTTTCAGTGTAATCAATTTCGCTTGTTCCTGAATGTACCGGCGCGCGGGAAAAAAAATCCGCTACCTCATTATTTTTACAAGGCGTATATTGAACTATATAATTGTATGCGGACAATATTATGGCATATCTTTGAAGTCTCAATGCCGTTGTGACTGATATACCCGTTGAACTATTAAATATAGAAACTAAAGGGCGATGATCAGTTTTTAATATAAATGGTTCACTACGGCCGTATAAGTATTGGTGAAAGTGTTTCACCCCGAATATTATTGCAGTCGCTTCCTTCTGGATTTGACTGTAATTACTTTCACTAGGCATTAGCGAGCGAGAAGCGTAAGCGAGTGGCCTCTCGATGCCGTCTGCAGCCCGCTGCGACAGCACCGCACCCAACCCTGTCGGTCCGGCGTCCACGGCCAGCACCAACTGCGCTGATGGTTCAAAGTGAGCCAATACTCGCTCGGAAGCAAGTTCCCTCTTTACTAGCTGCACCGCACGCTTTTGAGGCATGTCCCATCGCCATTCCGCGCCTTTACGAAGAAGCTCATGGAGCGGACTCATTAATGACGATGCGTTTGGAATAAAATTCCTATAATAATTAACGACACCTAAAAATCGCTTAACTTCACTTACGTTGGTGGGTTCTGGTGCTTTTAAAATAGCACTTACCTTATCCGGGTTTGTACGTAATCCATTTCTATCTATCAGGTAGCCCAGGTAAGTTATATTTTCTTTAAAAAAAATACATTTTTCTTTTTGTAGACGCAGACCGGCATCACTTAATCTTTTCAAAACTTCCCGAAGCCTGCTTAAATGAATACTAGTGTTCGGCCCCGTTACACAAATATCGTCTAACCAGCAACTAACGCCCTCTATCCCCGACAGAAGAGATTCCATTGATCTTTGAAAGATAGCCGGTGCGTTTGCTAATCCGTACACTAACCGCGTATATTTGAACAACCCTTTCGATGTTGTGATGGTAGTGAGCATTTGGCTCTCCTCACTAAGAACAAATTGGTTATATGCATTTTTTAGATCTATTTTAGTGTAACGGTCCCCTCCCCCTATCTTAGCGAATACCTCTTCTATGCGGGGTAGTGGATATTTCTCAATTACTAGGTCTCTATTCAGTGTAACAGAAAAATCGCCAGCTATTTTGACTCTTCCGTTTTCTTTAAGAACAGGCACTATTGGTGTGGCATATTGGGAATGAGTAACAGGAACTAAAATCCCTAATTTTACTAACCTATCCAACTCCTGTTCGACTTTATTTTTTAAAGCAAATGGTACGGTGCGGGGCTTAAAAAATTTTGGTGTTGAATTTTCTTTTAAATGCAATTGCACTTTAAACTTATTAAATGTTCCTAATTCGTCGCGCCATAATTCTGAATATTGTTCCAGCAGTGTTTGTACATTAATATCATTTTCTAACTTATTTATTCGCGTAGTCAATATTAAATTAAATAAAGACATAAAATCACGTCCTAATAATGGCGGTCCCCCGTTTTGTACTACATATATTTTAATGGGCTGTTTTTTACCGTTATATGTTATATGTGTATTAAAATAACCTATAGGTGATATCTTATGACCGTTATATAAGCACATTCTAATATAACATTGTTGTAATTTGTAATATGAAAATAATTGATCATACATTTTTTTTGAAATAACGGATGTACCCGCCCCGGAATCTAATTCCATCGATACAGATACGTTACCTAATTTAACAGTTAATTTAATTGGTTCATTAGTAACGTACCTTATATTAAAATTATGACACTCCGTACAGCATTCACTCATTTCGTCAACGTTGTCTAAGTTGTTAACACGCGTAAACATATTTTTCACACCGCACACTTTTTTTAGATGCCCTTTAACACCACATTTTTGACAACGGTAATTTTTAAAACGACACTGCTCACTATTATGATTCTTCATACCGCATACGCTGCAACGGAACGTTTCGTTCTGGAAACTTCTATACGTTGACGAGCGCGGCATATCTAACGCACGACGACGGCCACTACCGCTGCTGCTGGGACCTTCGCTTGTCGAACGAAAAATAGGTTCCTCCTTGAAGGTTACTCTTGCTTCTTTAAACAATATTTTTGCCTCCCTCGCACTCTCCGCTTGCTCTGCTATCTCCAGTGCTCGTGAAAGAGACAATTTAGAAGAATCTTGCTCGAATAATTTATCACGTTCATGACTTTCGCCCAGGCCTAGGACAAAGCGATCCGTAATGATTGCTTCTAAGGCGGCACCGAAGTCACAGTGGCTTGCTAAACCCCGTAATCTTGCCGCCCAGTCTCCTAAAGTTTCGCCCGGGCACCTTGTTGCTCCGTAAAACTTCGCCTTATCTGCATACGAACAACTCTTTGTCTTAAAATGTCCATCCAATAATTCTACCAATCGTATGTAACTTAAGGTGTCCACATTGCTCGGATACGCGATATTCCGTAACAGACGGTAGGAATCATCAGTTAAGTGAGTAATAAGAATCGCACTTTTATTTTCTTCTTTCACTTCATTGACCTTCAAAAACTGCGTCAATTTACTTTTGAATATCGGCCAGTCGCAACTTTTATGATCGAAGTTAGATAAATTTCCTAAGTACGACATTTTTTTCCTGATATTTATAAACGGTGGGTAAATATCCTCGTCGCCAATTGAAGTGTAGGAAGCGCAATGAAACAACCGATACGTAGTCTGGTTAGTTTATTACTGTCTGAGTGGAGCGCGCGCGCAGGCGACGCCTTTAATAACTTAAGGTGGCGGGTAGGTTACTATACAGCACTTCCATAAATGTAACAGATATCATGTAGTCTTTGACAGACTACATTTGAAAATAATTAGTGTAAGTTTTTTTTGTCATTTATAATTAACTATCTTTTACAAACATTATTTGAAAGGAACTTAATAGGGGTCCTTACTGAGATGAAGAATCAAGTCACGGCATGTTGGCCGATTGCAATATTACATTTAGATTTTAATTGAAAATAATATTAATGGGAGAGAAGGCTTGGTAGAATATTGCTGCAGCTGGTTGGTAGGAAGACGAACCCTTGGCTGTTGAGCCCATTTATATCTATAATTTGGTTTTTAGGACGAGCACAACACCAAAACAACATCATTCCACAGGAGCATTTTTTAATAATGTAATTTTTAGGGAAGATATGTGTATTTACTAAAGAAATTGCTGACCTCTCGCTCATGTTCATTGTTTTTGTTTTTAGTTTGATTTGATCATCCCAATAGATTCCAACTTATGAAAATAGCACAACTGTATATGGACTGGATTAATTAAAGTAATTCGTCCCGTTTAAGATGCTAAATCTAGATTTCTATTTGATGTTTTCCAACATAATCTCAAAATCTTTATTTTATCTACTCAGTTTCCTGATTGCAAAATTAATTTATATTAATAACAATGTTTTATGGACATATTTGGGACATAAATAAATCAGTAGCATCAATATCATCAACATTTAAAAAATGCATTAGTCAGGTCAACGCATGTATGGAGAGTGAACATTATTCTTTTATTATTTAGTTATTTGAACTATTTGACATAGAACCTGAAAAGAAACTGAAAGGTCTAAAAATATTATTATTTTCAAAAATATATAAACATCATTGAAATAGGTATTGAAGGTTATAAAAATCTTGAATTTTCTTAATATCAGGATAAAACTGGCCTGACTGGAGCTATGGCCCGCAACATTGCAGGGCTACCGTCCAGTGAGAGCGGTTCATCTGCTGCCATAGCTAACTTCACACCCAGTCAAGCATCCGCTGAGGTGGAGGAGCTACCTGAGGACATTTTCACTAAAGATGTGAACCTAAAACTGAGTATGTGTTTATTATTGCTATTAATCAACATATTTATACATATATATATAAAAATAATAAATGTCGTACAAATTTTATTCACTATCTTCACTTCACCATTAGTGGACTTGTAATTTAAACGCTGGTTTATAATGTAGAGGTTTATTTCTTGCTAACATAACTGAAACGTGTGCGTCTACTAAGATATACAGCGAAATAGAGTGTGCGGAAACATTATGCAGCTATTTATTGTTTATTTTACTAGTGTTGGGAACATCCCGACAAAGGTCTTGGTTAATTTCTTCTTATTTCTTTACAAATGTTTTATTGTCTTTAATGTTCTTGTATTATAAAAATCTGGAACATCATGTTCTCTAATTGACCCAATTGGTACTCCTGGAGCTAATGATAAGATTCCCAAAGGTTTTGCAGTTTTACCACTGGCTCTAAAGTAAATAATAACATGTACACGTGGCCGTGCAGCGACGAGTATGGCACAGCGGTTAGCTTCTCCGGCGTGGCAGCCAACAAGCGTGTCTCGTCTGCATCCGCTCGCTAAACTGTTGAGTGTGAAGCGCAGCCAGAGGTGCAGAGCCTGTGACCATAACCTCACCAAGCCGGAGTACAATCCTGGCTCTATCAAGTTTAAGATAGAACTACTGGCCTAGTAAGTACTGATATTAGTGCTGTGAAAAAGTATTTAAAAAGACAAAAGAAATAAAATAGTTTATTAATCAATATACAGCATAGATATTACTAAAGGTGCTCGTGTATTGCCTCAGCACGGATGTACCGGCCGGTGCTTACGACACGCAACGCATTGCACGGTTTTTTTTTTAGTTATGGCCTTGTTCCGTTATATACAGAAATTCTGCCAACATCCTGTAGTGAGAGAGACACGAGACTCGAGAGACTGAGCGTAGCTATAATTGACCAGTTCTTTCTTGAGATTGCACAGATTTGTCGATGTCATACATCCACTGCAGTCGCATTTTTGATAGATGTTTCTATGAAATGCGACTGTCAGTTTTGATGTCGGTATTATGCTGATGACGTCATAGAGATTTTTTATATAATCCGTTGCGTGTCGTGCGATCAGTGCGTAACCACCTTAACTGGTTAACCAGTTGGCGGAGTCAAATTATTTTCACGTATCACTGGGACCCATATTTAAAAAATACGCAACACTAATGTCACATTTGTAATTTCTAATGAGAGAATCCAGATGTGAAATAAATTTACTATATCACCGTTCTTCACAGTATGTTAACAAATCATGTCCATTACGTGTTTGAGCATACAAATAATTTATTGCATTTGTCCACATGTCAGTCATTAGTAAAGTAAATATATAAATGAGGCTATTTATAGAAATAAAAACTGTTAAGATTGTCTGCTCATTTATGCATATGTACAACACTAACTTTGGTTTCCCAGCTACCACGTCCCCGAAGTGAAGATCATATCGTACGAGACTGTGAAACCAGGCACCAAGTCGGCACTGTTGCTCAAACTGACAAATCCCACAGGGCACGAGATGACTCTACAGTTGTTACGACCCGAAGACTTGCCACCTGATGACAAAGAGGAACCTAAGAGCATTGAGAAATCCCTAGAGAAATCACTCAATTTGGATAAGGTGACAATAATTTAGACCTCGGTACGCTAATTCTGCTAATGTCCATGTATTGAGGAAGTATTAAAAAAAAATTAGTTCCCGAAATCAAACTGGATGTCGATACAGTACGTTCTTGATTTCCCTATGACAATGTTTCCGGTTTTCTTTCAAGTTTAAAAGTAAATTAGTATTCAAAACTCAATAAACAACTCATATTCTATTTGTACTTGTTCGTATTTGTATTGATATCAAAGTTTCGAACTTTCAAATTTCAGTTTTTTAATATGTTAGTTAAAAGGAATATTTCCTGCAAAAATCAACTTTTGCTAGAGTCGCCATCTAGTGGAGTAGCTTTTTTAGTGCTTTAATTTTTTTAAATACTTCCCCTATAGATTAATTTTCAGTTTAGAGAACAGCACCAGTTTCGTAAAAATTGGTTCAGTAATTTTGAAAATATAAACAGTTTTACCAACTGTAAAAGCGGAATAATTAAATTCAATGAGGATTGTTATTATAAACTAGCCTTCCGCCAGAGGCTTCGCCCGCATGAAGGCTTTAAGGCCAGAAATGAGAAAATTCCATAAAAACTTTCATCCCCTAATTTACCCCCTTAGAGGTCGAATTTCATAAAATCCCGTCTTAGCGAGCACCTACGTTCTAAAAAGAACCCGCATACAAATTTTCAAACTCCTAGCGCTTGTAGTTTTTGAGATTTCGTGATAAGAGAGTTCACTTTTAATTTAATATTACTTTGATTAAGCTTTTTGAAGTTAATTTTTCATAGATCAATTACCCTGGGGATATTGATATTGAAGTCAACTCGATACCTCCTCACATTCTGTATGAGAAAAAGGAACATCCTTTCCTGTGTTCCGTTTTATTGTAAGGTTACGGAACGCTAATAATAATATGTGTTATATATGTGCGGCACAGGAGCCGTCCTATTATAAGGCGATAGAGCGCCGCCCGGTGCTGAGCGACGCGTGCCGCGTGGCCGCGCCCGCCGCGCTACTGACGCTCGCGCAGCGCGACGACGCCGCCGAGTACGACGACGACGCGCACCAGGACACCGGGGGGTGAGCGTATATCTATCATGATCCTGTTAGAACCGGCCGGCAATGATAATATTTGAAATTAAATATTTTATTACAATTATCACCAAAGTATCATGGAACGATCACTGAACTATGAACAAACCAGTGGCGGACTAAGGGGGGCGGAGAGGGCGGCCCGCCCCGGGCTTCCGTCCCTGAGAGGCCGCAGAGACCTCCGATGGATTACTCCGGTACTGCAGATAACTTCTAGATTTGGGAATGCCGCGAATACGTCGGCAAAATCGAGGTCAGCCTAGAATGGTGTTCGACCTCTGGTGGGCTGCATCGTAAATTAGGGTCTGAGGATTATGATATATGAATAAGTAAAGCCTTTTGTTACTTCATTGCCTTAGCTTTCTTATATGCAATTTAAAATACTACAGCTATCTATGGGGTCGAGGGGGGGCCTGATAGGGTTAGTTCGCCACTGCTTGGTCCCTATAAACTGATACTTGACTTATATAGATGTGAACTTATTTACAGTATAGTCAGAACGCTGTATCTTACTACTGGAGCATTTATTTGATTGTTAAACTCAAATGACATCAATTTTATGCTGAACTTCAGCTCGTAACATTTAACATTTTCATAAATGAAAATTGTTGTCTTTCTCAGAATCGTCCTCTGGAGGAAGTCTAATAAGCTGGCTCTCCGGTTAGAAGTGGAAACGTCTGAGACAGCATCGCCCGGTTCGCCGGCGAGCGCTACTCTGGCGCTGCAGTACTCGTACCGCAACACTGTACCGCCCGCAGCCAACGCGCAGCCACACCGCGTGCACACGCTGTACGCTGTCATCACATTGCAACTGGGACTAGTCGCCGGATAAAACTACAACAACCGACTGGCCAAACATGGACATCAACAAAAAAATATTCTAATTTACATAATATCAACAAGGATATTAATGATCTCTCTCTAACAGAACCAACTGCTTTTTGTGCTTTAACCTTATGTTGTCTTCTTGTAGTCTAGACAAGATGGGATAACATTACAGGTCTATCATAAGATCATAACATTAATAATTAAGAATAATTATTTAATTATCATCTTGTTTTTAATACTCATGGTGGCTGGGTACGAAATCAATATTTATCTCAAATAAAATTAATACTTTATTTTAACAAAATTTCTTCCAAGATTCTGAAATTAGGGTAGGGTTGACATGACTGTATGTCAATCTGTCATTCAGCTCTTTAGTTGTAAATATATTCAGGGTTTCATTGAAAACTATAACAAAATAGCCTCAGATTGTATGTATATTATTTTAAAAACATTTCCCCTCTAGTCGTGAAAAATTCTTTAATGAGAGCTCTATTACTGTTAAATATTGAATGTTTAACTCAATATATCGAATATATCTGCAGTTGTATATAAATAAAATACATATAAGAGAATGTATGAGATGAAAATGTGCCTAATGTAGCTATCACATGAATTTTATTCATGGAATTCCATTTGCGTTGTGAATGTGTGGTATGTTTTTGTTATTTATTTTTGTACCCAAGTTTATTTTTTAATAAATTTTTAGTATTTAAGTGCTAATGAAGTAATATATGTAACAGGCAACTCAGTACATATATATTTAATGTAACACAAAGTAAACATTTGCACATTTTGTATTGCGATTTTGCAACAAGTATTTTATTGCTATCAAATTTATGGCAAAATATAATATATTTCTGCTTATAATATGTTTTCTTTAACCCTTACATAGTCCATAGAAATTTAATTTTACTATGAAATATATTTAGCACTATTTACAAATATCATATAATTATTGCAAAAACAATATGAAACTACCAAAACAATTCTTTTACTTTATATAAGTGGAAGACATAATTTTCTAATTATTCCTTTCATGTGCAGTCTTTTAAAACCTGAGTCTTAGCTGAATATATAACATCATTTATACCAACTCCATCATAGCTAGAGCCAACAAGAGAAATAGGTAGGTTTTTATCTTTTATATACTGTCTTATTTTGTCCACCCTCTCATAGTGTCCAATAACATACTGAGGAATGCATCTATGTAAAATATTCACATTATATGCTGAAGGTTTCTCTGTGATATTTAAAATTGAACTTATTTCTTTAACAGCTATGTCATATAATGTGGTAACTTTAACATCATCTCCAAACTTCTCTTTGAACCATCTCCCTCCAAGCATGACAGTCAAAACAGTGCCATTCTGATCAGGAATACAACAAGAGTCAAATACCACTCCCAATATTGGAGAATTTTCTATTGGAGGCACCAGAAAACCAAAAGCTGGTGTTATCAGTGACTTATCTGTTGCAAAATGCAAATTGACAATGCCAACTGTTACAAATGGAATATCTCTTAAATCTTGAGCTAATTCAGGGTGCTGATTGGAAACCAAATTTGCAAGAGAATATGCAGGTATTGAAGAATAAACATGGTTAACTTCAGTCCTTTCCCCAGCAATATCCTTTAACACTACTGTACCAGAGTCTACAAACTCTATTTCTTCTATTTTTGTATTCAATTTAATGTTAACATCATTCTCTTTCAAATAGTTATGTAATGTTAAAGGAAATATGTCCAAACCTCCTCTAATAGTATATACATTCCATTTCTCTTCCTGTGATTTTCTTGCCAGATCACTAAGCTCCAAATCTTCATCCGAATTAGGCTTAAATAATGACCTTATCATACCTTTAACGACACCCCCATGGGTTTGCTCCCATTCGAAAAGTGTTTTCATAAGAAATTTAACAGATATCTCTTTGGCATCACCAGCACATATTCCACAGATCATTGGCGAAACTGCATAGTCAGCTATTTCTTTGCCGAACCGTCTTTCAACAAAATTGTAAATAGAATCATCCTGCAAATGTTTGTTAGGTTGTTTTATATCATTGAGCAAAGCGAAAATAAGGGGTTTTGAAAAAGGTGTAATTTTTCTAAACATACTTTTCAAACTAGATGGTAATAAATGCAGATTATTCTTTGCATAAATCATACGATTTTTCGCTGCCGGGTGATCCGGTCTGATGGGTACAATGTGCTCACTCAGACCTAGGTCTTGGATCATGTTCAAGGTATTTAAACCAACTATACCTTTTGGTCTGATAGTTCTCGGACCCTGTTCGAATATATAATCCTTGGTTTTAATAGATTTTATCCAACCACCACAGAAATTCGTTGCTTCCAATAGAAACAGTTTGAGGTTGTTGTTGTTGATAATATTGTTTTTCAGCAAATAATAACCTGTAGATAGGCCGCCTAGGCCCCCGCCAAGAATCGCAGCCATGATAAGATATATGTTTTTTCAAATTAATGTCGTTATTTGATGATATGGTCACCATTGAATAATTGATTTATTTCGGAAAACAACACAAGTCACAACCGTTTGTTTCCCTTTTTTAACAGTGACAGGTTGCTTTTTTTATATAATATGGCGCCACAGCTTGTGCATTTTGCCTGTCAAATAAAAAAACAGATTGCTTCGTCTTCTTTTTTCTTCTTTTTTATTAATTTTTTTTATTAATCTGCGCATTTCGCGCTATGAGGAAGTATTAAAAAAAACGAAAGCACTAAAAAATCACCTCCACTAGATGGCGACTCTAGCAAAAGTTTATTTTTGCAGGAAACGAATGGACCAAAGACAGTTAATTCCGTTCCTTTTAACTAACATATTAAAAAACTGTGAAAAGTTCGAAACTTAGATATTAATACAAATACGAAAAAGTACAAATAGAATGTGATTTGTTTATTGAGTTTTGAAAACTAATTTACTTTTAAACATGAAAGAAAACTGGAAGGGTCATGCAGAAATCAAGAACGCACCGTAGTGACATCTAGTTTGTTTTTTTTAATATTAGTTCCCAAAATCAAACTAGATGTCACCCTAATTCTCCCATGTCAGGTAAATAAATTAATTTATACATGTAAAATGAAATGAATGAAAGATGGCGATGATATTTTTCTTTTATTAATGGTTTAATCCACGTAAATCTGTATTTCGCCAATATCAAGTGAAAAAAAATTTTTTCTGCTCGTAAAATGAAAACGAAACGAATAAAATATGGCTATAGTATCTCTCAGAGCTGACCTGCGATTCTATAAAAAACCAGACCCAAATTCGAATTCACGTCATTCAGTATAGAAATGCTATTGATTTCATTTTTTGTATTAAAATACTAAACATAATTGATTGAATATACTTGTTTCAGATATTCTATTGCTATGTCATTTGGAAACTCACTTTACTTATGCCATGAAACGATATTCAACCAATTCAAAGTTGACCGGATGACGCTTTTTGAAGTGAATTCGGACACCTGAGAGAATTCGAATTCGAGTTTTTTACAAAATCGCAGGGCAGGGCAGACCACACGGAAGCATCAATGGAACAACAACTTGCTTTGGTAATAGTGACAGTAGCATTTTCGTTTATAGCAAAGGGTAACAAAAATACAGCCTTCTTCCGTAATATTTATTACAATAGTCTTCTGTTTCTACCAAAAAAAAAAAATTCTTTGGTGTTCTTGAGTTAACAGAAAGTGTAGGAATGTAGAGAAGTCTACAAGTAACTGGTGACAATTCACTGAACACTTCATATGCACTGTATATTTTTCACTTTTATGTTCTTCCATGATACTTTGTCTAGCAATATAAGATTACTTTTACGAAAGAAACTCAATCACTATAAACAATAAAACTGCAATCAAATAAACATCTATACTTTTACTCTTTGAAATAAACAGACAGTAATCTTCCTTTTATAGATTCCTGCAAGAAAACTCCGCCTTAATTTCGTTAAAGGCAAAACGAACTTAACCCCCATGCTTAAATTTGAGATCTCTGACTCAGAATCCTTCACCAGAAATCTCTGTGTTCTGTTTAACTACACAATGTCTTAGATGACTATGTATTATTCCTTATTTCGATGAAAAAATCTTCTGAATCGATTTTGATGAAATTTCGATGAGACCACAGCTGCTGCAGACTGTACTGCAGATTGCACCTATACTCAATCAAATAGCAAGTTAAAAGTGGTTCATAAACCACTATACTCCATTCATTATAGCATTAGATAGAATGAAAATAAGGTTCTTTTTACAAAATGTCAACAATCATGTTACTTTTAGGACTAACGGATAATTTGCTTCATATCCACTTAAATACCAGCTGCTATTTAACCGTTGTCTTTAAAGCTTTATATTAAACAAACTAGCTTTCGCTTGGTTGCCCCGGGCTGCGAGCAGCCCGGGGAGGTCACGAGTAGCTAGTGGAATCGGGGCGGTGGGGTTTCAAGTCCGCCTATTGTTATGTCGGGTTTACAGTTTGAAATTGCGTAGAAAAGGTCAGTAAGTTCTATCTTCGAATAAAAGGTGTTAAAGGACACAAAGCACCATACATCAAAGAAAAAGTGTTCCCAGTTGACACTTAATAGAAAAAGAAATATTCAGTCGAAAAACGCAAGCAAAACCTAAAATAAATTTTGTATAGATACTTAAAATAAGTTTTGTCTTTTATTCTCTTATTCTTATTTATTAGTAAATAACTAAAATATTAAAAAACAATCGAACATATTTTTCCATCTGTGTTACTATCATTAATTAATCAATAAATGTCAAGATATAGTATTTATTGTATTTGCATTATTACATTACATTATTTATGTAAGATTTATTTATTATATGAGAAGGGAACCGATGTCGTGGCCAGATATTAGATCGATTCACAATGCGGTAGGGTTTTAAGTCCGCCTCCGTTGCAGAATTTGAGATTTTCGTTTTTTTTTTGTTGTTTGTTTTATAGTTTGAAATCGCCTTCAAAAAGTTAGTAAGTTCTGTCTTCAAATGAAAGGTGTGTGAAAGGTGTGAAAATGAAACCACCATACATCAAAGAAAAAGGGTTGCCAGTTAACGCTTAACAGAAAAAGAAATATTCAGTCGAAAGACGCAAGCAAAACTCTAAATAAATTATAGTCTCTTATTCTTATAAAATATATTTTAAGTATTAAATATAGTGTCAAAAATTGGATTTTCTTTTCTCCATACTTACCTATGTGAAAGTGTGAGTAAAGATACCTACACAAATGGTCCATATATACACGCTATAAAGATCCCCAATTTTCAAGTCCATCGAAATCAAAATTGAAATTAAAATGGTCACGATCATCTTTTAAACATTATAAACCAAATGTTACCATCAACAAAAGCGATTCGTTTCTGGTTTTTCATACACTAACCTAACCTAACCCATATGTCATAATAAACCTATACAAGTTTTTGTTGCTTTACTTATTGTATGGTTCTTGAGCATAAACGAGTCGCTTGTGGGATCGGAGCGGTGGGGTTTTAAGTCCGCCTCTTGTTATGTTTACAGTTTGAAATTGCCTTGAAAAAGTTAGTAAGTTCTATCTTCAAATAAAAGATCTTTAATTACGCAAAACATCATACATAAAAAAAAAATTGCCTGTTTACACGCAATATAAAAAGAAATATTCAGTTGAAAAATGTAAGAAGACTTAAAATAAATGTTGTATACATCGCCTTAAAGTATAAAGTATTCTTATTCAATAGAAAATTTCCTAAAAATCACAGTATCAAAAAAAAAAACAGTTTTTTATCATCCTTCAACTGAATACATTTTTTTTTTCTGTAAGTAATCTGAAAATTTTTATCAATAACGCCAAAATAATACATTTTCTAGATAAAATGGAAGCTGTCTTAGCCGCCATCTTGAATTTTAAAATTTCAGATTCAGACCTAAATAGCACACTTATAAGTGAATTTGGTCACATTTCCTAAACCGATTGACCAGGTCTCCATTTATTATGGCTCGCTTCGCTCGCTTTTACTTTTTGTTTTTTCGCAGTTCTAATCTAACCAATTGACCAGGTCTCTATTGATGGTGTCCTTTATGGCTCGCTTCGCTCGCATTTTATTTAAGTCACAGTTCTAAGCCTACCAATTAACCAAATATCTCTTAACAGTTACTCCTTATGGCTCGCTTCGCTCGCTTTTTATTTTATTGACAGTTCTAATCCAACTGATTGATCAGGCCTCTATTGATGGTGTTCTTTAAGGCTCGCTTCGCTCGCATTTTATTTTAGTTACAGTTCTAACCTTACCAATTAACCAAATCTCTTAATGGTTACTCTTTATGGCTCGCTTCGCTCGCATTTTGTTTTAGTCACAGTGCTAACATAACCGATTAATCAGGTCTCTTTTAATGATCTCGCATTTTGACTCGCTTTGCTCGCTCTTTATTTTGGTCACAGTCCCTTAAACGATTGACCAGGTCTCCATTTATTATGGCTCGCTTCGCTCGCCTTTTGTTTTATTCACAGTTCTAATCTAACTGATTGATCAGATTTCTATTGATGGTGTTCTTTAGGGCTCGCTTCGCTCGCATTTTATTTTAGTCACAGTTCTAACCTTACCAATTAATCAAATCTCTCTAAATGGTCACCCTTTATGGCTCGCTTCGCTCGCTTTTTGTTTTAGTCACAGTTCTAATCTAACCGAATGACAATGTCTCGCTCGCTTTATTTTTCTGGCTAAAATAGTGGATTTTTTTTCTCACCACGTAAAGATTGGGTAAAGATACACAAACGGTCTATATATGCTATAAAGTTCCCGAGTCGCCAACTCGGTCAGAATCATCCTGAAATTTATATGGTGACTACTATCAGTGTTGTTAGTCGATCACTCAAATTATTCCAACAATTATGTTATAAATGCAACTGTAAAATTTTTGTTAAACCGTAAAATCATTGTAAAGAAATGTTTTCATATTTTTCATAAATGATATACATGAAAGTTTCTCAAAAACCTCGGTATCAAAAAATTTTTTTTCATCTGGCAACACTTCAGCTTATGTTTTTTTTAAGTAATCTGAAAAATGTTATCATATGCGCAAAAATCAGTTCTATAAAGTAAAAGTCGTGAAAAATGATCAATTTTGTAGATAAAATGGCCACAGTTTAAGCCGCCATCTTTAATTTTGAAATTTCAACCTTAGACCTATGTAGCCCACCTATTGGCGCATCCAACGCAGTTTTTGTTATTTTCCTAGCGGCTATAATGACTGCGCTAGAATCCAAAACGTGAATAGTGGGCATTAAATCTTCATACCACCGTAGCTGACAGGGTTGCCAGGTGTAGGCGATGAAAATAGTCCAAAGTGATTTTGGGATGCACTTTCCACCGACGGATACCAATTTTCAAGTTCTAAAATTGTTCCTTTGACATTTACAATTTTTGGGGTAAATCTCAAAAAATACCCTAAATTCGGGTAAAATTTTTCCATGATACGAAAGAGTCTATAGAGATACACAATCGCTCCATACATGCCAAATTCCTGCGGGGTTGCCAAGTCGGTCAAATTCGAGGTTGAATTTCAAACGTTGTTTGCTCTCAGTGTTGCCAGTCGATCGTTCTATTTTTTCCATCGGGTATCTTGAAAACTTAAAATTAAAATAATTGCATCGAAAAAAATTCCAAAATTCGACAAAAAGTGTTTCCTCAAAAATCTCACAAAGTATCAAAAATTTTCAGATTTTTTTTTTCACCTAGCAATACTTTAGCTACTTGCCTAAAAAATGTTTCCCCGGAAGTACTCTGACAAA